CATAAGTACAACTTATTAAAGCTCGATGTTTGAATTCGTATAAATAACTGCGGATAAACATAATCAAATAGAGAATGAACATCTCATTTTAAAATATAAAAAATCTAAAATATAATTAAAATAATTATCGAGTTCCAACAAAATAAAAAATTATTATCTTTATAAAAAATTATATTATTAAAACAAATACAAATTACTTTGTTATTATACATAAATTAAATTATAAAAAAATTGGATTAAAAAATTACACAAAAATATGAGAAATTTCAAATAGTTAATTTGATACTAATATCTATATATTTTTGTCAAATTTTTATGATATCGTCAAACATATATTTTATTCAAAAATAAAAACATCATCGCTTTCTCAAAATCACATAAAGCCATATTATAAAATCGACTGAGATAAAAAATAAAATGAAATATTTAAAACACGATGTATCTCGCTGCATTGCGCGAGTACGCTTCTAGTTACATAAAAATGATAACTTTTAAATAGTTGATTTGATATTAACATTGATATTTTTTTTTTCAAATTTTTAAGATATCTTCAAATTTATATTTTAATTAAAAAATAAACTTATTATTACTTTATTAAAAACACATAAAATCGTATTATAATAGCGACAGAGACAAATAATAAAATAAAACATTAAAATCGATATATGTCTCGCTGCATTGCGCGAGTACTCTTCTAGTAAGATACTATAAACAGTTAAAAGAAATTCAGTGACCATCCTAGAAATACTTGAACTAACGATTTGTGTGGAAAAGCCCTAAAGCCTGATATTTATTTGTCAATTGAACGAGCGTTCAAGGTTGAATTCAAGCGTTTCTTATTCCTTCCTACGACTTAGAATCGGTCACACATATAGTTTTAAATAACTCGTTATGGCACGCTATGGCATCGGGTCTTGAGTTTGCCACCACATTAATCTTGGTGGCTCCATTCTAAGGCTTGACTCGATTGTAACGCGATATGGAGCGTGTACAACGCGTTATTTTGTAAGGTGTGGGGATTTTAATATATAATTTGAGGGATTAATGATAATTATATACAAGACCTAAGATTTAAATGAACATAGAAAAAATTAAGAACTAAAAGCTTAAATAGGTAAATGCTTACTCTCATGCTCATATATGAAGAACTGAACACGAATTCTTTGAAAATTGAAGAGAGTAGTGAGTTCAGATTCAAGAGATTTAATCCCGATTTTGTACCCCAATATCATTTTCTTAAACTATATATATCACGTACCCATAATTTTTTCTTTCTTTTTTAGTTTTATTAATATTCAAAAACATGAACATTTGCAGTGTGTGTCTATATATTTATATACTGTATATACATATGAGGACATGTTCAAACGAGAACGTTAACTATTTAATAAAACAAGAAAAATGTCGTTAATGTACAAAATCATATATGATTCACATACAAAATCATACATGATTCTCATGTATATATTCACGTACAAAATCATACAAGTTCAAAAGTCGTCCGCTTACAAATTTTTTTATGTTTAAAATCAAATGTGATTTTGTATATTAATGATCTTTTTTTTGTTTTCTTTAATATTTAACGTTCTCATTTGAATCTTTCACTCACTATCTCTCTCTCTCTCTCTCTCTCTCTCTATATATATATATATATATATATATAATATTATAAAGTATTTGGATTAAACTTTTAAAAAATATTTTTAATGCATCAAGTGTTATTTAATAATACATATTACTTAAAGTTCAAGATTACAAATAAATGATACATGAATAAAATGATAAACATAATCAAATAAATGATAAACATTTTATTTTAAATATTAAATATATAATCAGAATAGTCATTGAGTTCTAAAATAAATCACTTCGTTGTTAAACTTTAATTAAATTATACTAAAAATCGAACTAAAAAAAGTCATATAAAAAACGAAAACTTTTAAATTGTTGATTTGATGTTAATTTCAATATATCGTTTTCTCTTCAAACTTATATCTTATTCAAATATAAAAAACATTATAGGTTTCACAAAACCGTATTATAAAATCAACAAAGACAAATAATAAAACGAAACATTAAAATCGAGATGTATTTCGTTGCATTACGTGAATACGCATTTTGAAAAATGCCATGGCCCTGTCATAAATCGTAAGGCTTAACGTCGTCGTCACACCATATATCTCACATCATTTAAAATCTTACAATATTATCCAAAGATCCTTAAAGTTATGGATTGGATCAATCGCTATCAATCTTTATAGTAGATCTCGACATTGTCTCATGATCCACTTGAAGTAATAGTGACAATAACATAAGCCTAATGCCATAGTTATCACAAAACATACGCACGTTTCATCATTTATTTCCTTCAGAATTTCCACAGCTCTTTTGAGTTGTTTTTAAAAGGTTTCTAGAACACGCCATTTCTCATACCATAAATAACTTAGGGGCTTTTCGGTTGCGGCTTAATGGGCTGTATAAGTCATATGGCTTATTTGCACAGTCATATCTAACTGTTCGATATGGGCTTATTCGGTCAGCCCATGGCTGAATCGCTCAGCTACAAAAGTAGAGTCATATACATTCAGCCATTTATTGTTCCATTTATTCCCTTTTAACCCTTCCCCTAATTTCGTCTTCTTCTCCCTTTATATGAAATCAACCACTCTTTTCTTGATCCAGTTCACATTTCAAGTTCCAGATGAAAACCTTTTCTCCTTGTGATTCGATTTCTTTCTATTGTTTGTTCTTACAAACGTTTTCGATTTCTCCCTATAGTTTTCGATTGCTTCCCATGGTTTCTTCTTCTAGGGTTTCGATTTCTCCCTGTGGTTTTCCAATGTCAATACCGTTTGAAAGATGAGAGAGTTTTAGGCAAAGGCTTGAAGGCGAGAGTTTTAGGGTTTTGATTTTGAGTTGGGTTCTTTTTTATATTGAGTTGGCACAAATCAATAGATTGGAAACAATATATAGTTACTGATAAAAGATATAGACCGAAAGATAAAATGGTCATTTATAACATTCAGACTGTTTATTCAGCACAACAACCTATCTGTTAATATACAGACAACTATATCCATACAGGTTTTAACAGAAAATGAACCGAACAGCCCCTTAGACAACAAAACCAACCTCAGTTACCAAAGAACCTTTGGTCTAACGATATGTGAGTCATTGGCCTCCTAGAAAATCAAGGGTTCAAACTTTACCAAATGTGAGAAGAGTGCACGAGTTTATTTGTTCTAGTTACCGTAAATAAATATTATATATTTAAAAAAAAACCCAACCATATTATCAAGAAAACCAGACTCAGTTCTGAATAGCATATAGTCAGTCAGTCAGTCATCTGCAAGTCCTAAACAAAACTGTCTTTCAAGAAAGTTATAAGAAAAACAAGTATTCACATATGAAGTAAGCCCTATTATTAAGGTATAAAGTTCTTCCATCTGAAAACTAGATCCACCCCATTTTGGTTGATCTTCCATTGCACCACCACAACATACCTCTTAATTATGTATATGACAAGTTTTCTTGAAGGATTTATTATATCTGCACCCACCAAAAAGAACAAGCAAAATCTTCAAAATCACACATTCAAGCCATTGAATCCTTAAAAATGTGGTAACAGAGAGAAAGGAGGACTCACAAATTAAACCGAATCACGGAGTCAGCATCACGTTTGCTTTCGGGGATCGAGTAACAGAACCAGGGGTGCAACATCTAACAATGGTCGGGTCCCATTCTGAATCAAACATATAGTCCAGCCGTCTTCCTAAAGATGGTTGCGATCTATGCAGCCACGAGTCTGGACCTCTCTGCGTGATTTCTGATTCACTAGTTTTCACATTTTTGCTGCAATCATGACCAGATGTAGACGGAGACGAGCAGTTGACACTTCTCGGAGTTCTTTTCCTTATAATCGAAGGCGTGTTCTTATAACTCATTGCCGAGTTTCTCAAGATAGATTCTGGGCTGCTGCTATTAACAGAGATGCTTAGTGCAAGATGAGGGGGAGTCGAACACGAAAACTGACCGTTTAGTTGCATAGAACTGTTGGCAGAGCTCGGAGATCCACTGTTCTCTAAAGAAATGGCCAAATTCTTGAGTTGTGGAGGCTGGTAACATAACGAACCGTAAGAAGGTGTTCCAAAAGTTGATAGACTTAGAAATGAAGTGTCGGGTGAAATCCCGAGTTTCAAATCTTTGACACTATCGACTGCAAGTCTTTTAGGCGATTCAGGAATCGATGGTTCAACTTTACGGATTTTTGCATACCGAGTAAACCCCATACAATCCTCATCAGTGATATCGAATTTACGATTTCCGAGGGCTAGATTTGTTGAACAGGTGTTGGAAACGTTAAGTAACTTCTTATCATCGGCATTCTGTTCTACTAATGGTGTTCCCGTGCCTCCCTTTTTCACTTCAGTATGCTCAGGAGATGAAGTTCTTCTAGGAAAAACGGGAGGAATGTTTAGGTCCAATCTCCGTTTTGAGCTATTCCAATGATTTTTAATTGCATTATCGGTCCTGCAATCCCCGAAAAAGAACATAAACAACTCATTAGAAGTAAATTAGTCATTTTATTGGTCTTGTCTTGTCCACTCTATTCATGTCTTACCAAACACTGAACAAATGTCTAGTCATAAAAAGTACATTTATGACTATTTTAGCCTTTTATTTGCTAAGCTGAATATATTTAGAAAAAGTACATTTTCATTTGTACCTTCCAGGTAGAAATCTAGCAATTTCTGCCCATCTGTTCCCATATATCTGGTGGTAATATGCAAGAGTTGATTCCTCCTCTTCTGTCCATGCTTCTTTCCTTATGGCTGGATCTAAATGGTTATGCCACCTGAAAAAACCATATAATATGTTTCATGGTTACTAGGGATAAAAAAAACTCCATCCACTTACAGCTTAATGGTTTGGGCAGCTTATTCGCTTAGCCATACAGGTTTTTTTCTTTACAGCTTAATCGTTAGCCATTAAGCCAAATGGCTATGTGGAATAAGCCACGACCCCTTAGTTGTCCCATTAAGCCACCTCAAACAAATTAATACCAGAAATAATCCAACCCTCCCTTTTTGCCTCCCTCAAACCCATCGGTCTCCCTTCCCTGTGTGAGAGCTAGCCCAACAAAATGGGAGGAGATTTAGGGGCCATGTTAGGAAATCTTGAAGATCTTCGGGAAGGGGTAGCTGAGGTTTTGAGTATAGTAATAAAAACTACAAAACCGTAAATTTTGCAAGTTACAGTTTCATGGTAGGAAACAGATTTGTGCAGAAGAGAATCAAACCAAGGGTTGTTTGGTTAGTTTTCCATCAAATCCTGTATGGATAAAGTTGTCTGTGAGGATTAATCTATCTGTATAGATTAGAAAGGTTTTTGTTTGGAATGATTTTTTCATAGTTGAAAGGAGCGTATTTTTTAATTAAGAGAGGCAGGTTTAGAAAAAAACGGCTTTCTGCATAAAGCTTCCTCCTAAAAGCTTACTGAATATGCCACTTTCTATATCATTAAGCCATTACCAAACAGTCATCTATAGCTAACCAAATAAGCTATCAGTCCCATTAAGCTCATTAAGCTGCTAACAAACGGGCAGTGATCCATACCAATGGTCAATATAGTAACAAAGATGATTTATACCATATAATTGTAACAAAATGGGAAGAAATAGATGTCATCTGGTATACGCAAATAGCATGGTAGAGTAAGTGGGCAACGATGCTTACCTCTCACGGCATTGTTTGCCAATTCGACCAGCTAAATGCTTCGCAATAAGTGACCATTTCTTACAGCCATGCTTCTCAACCAACTCCTTAATACGATCATCCTCCTGAACAAAAATTTATAAATAACTCATTAAACAAAGTAACAAATACAGCAAATCAAACAATAACTTGTGGGATTTAAAATAAGGAACACAAAGTAGTCCAAACATACCTCTTTGGTCCAAGGCCCTTTAACAAGTTCAGGATTAAGAACTTTTTGCCAACGATGCAAGCACTGAACATCTGATCGTCCTGGAATAGATTCAGCTTCACAAAAGAACAGACAGAAAATAAGATGATAATTATAATTTATATTGATTGGATTACATTTCAATAGCATTACCATTATCATCATAATAAACTCTACATTGTGCTTCTGATTAAGAGAAAAGAATGCAAGATATGAAGCAAAAGTGACAGCATGACTGCCAGCTCACCTATTTTCTTCCAGTTCCTTCCGTTGTACTTCTTCACAACCCCAGTTAACATAGTGTCCTATAACGCAAAATATAAAATAAAATATCAGTATCCTGCATATATGTGCTCAAAGGTTTCAAACATAGTCCAAAGAGGCATGACGTTAATTAGATATCAGATTTAAGAACCCCAAGTCCCCAACTGACTATTTTGCAACATGAAGCTACTATAAGTAGATACAAATTGCATCAATGATCTACATTATCATTTCGCACTTTGGGAGAACAAGAGTATACATCAACTTAAAATCTTGCTTTTACAGCCAGAAGATAAACCAAGAAAGATTGTAGTTCAACTGCAAGAAGACCACACAAGCCACCAACTAACCTCTTCGTCCGTCCAGCCTGCTTGTGATGAGCGCTTAGTTTGACAACTGCTCCTACAAGCACAAATAAAAGAAAGTATATCATGAGCTGGAGCCGAGAATTGGTTTCAGAGCAACCAAAGATGCTTTCACTCCCTCAGAGACTACTAATATCCTATAACAAATGGATAAAGTTGTATGTTGAAATTAATTTGTCTGTATACATTGAGAAAATAAGTCATTTTCTATATCATTCAGCCACTACAAACAGTTACGTATAGCTGACCGAATAAGCTGTGAGTCCAATTAAGCTGCTAACAAACATGCACTTAGTGACTTGAATAGAGGAGTGATTTGCAATTTTGCATGTTCCCCAGGGAGTAATTGCAGTAAACATGCCAGATACCATGATATAAGAAAAGAGAGAGACTAAAAGAATACGGTACCATCTATGGATACAATTAACCAAGATGAAACCAGTTCAGAAAGAGATTGCAGAGTGTATACCATAAAATTAGCAAGATAACCAATTGCAGACAATTCCCAAGAGGTATCACAATGGGTTATGGGCTGAGGGCTACTTTAACATTGATAAGAAAAGAGGACAAGCAGACTAATCTTTTTCCACTTTAAATGAAGAAAAAGACTAATCTCATTATCTGTATTGAAGCATGCTTCCCAAATCCAGATATTAGTCACTACCCACAACATTTTTTTGCTGATTAATTGATAATCAAACATAGCAAGAAATGGATTTATGAATCAATAACCTTTCTCTAATTTTGCCTTTTCAAGTTTGAGCACCAATTTACTAAATACTTTCATCTTTTTTCTACTCACATGAACTTAGGAAAACCATAAATGAGGTCAAATCCAGGTCAATAAAACAGTAAATCTTGGTCAAAATCAGGTTAAGAAGCTTACCCACGATTGTAATGAGATCTTGGAGTGTTAGCATCACAGCTACTATCAGATATCGACGAACACGAACTGAATCCGACCTCTTTCTTCAAATCAAAAGTATGTGGTTCCTCCTTTCCTCCAGCCATCACATCTATCTCAATTAAGATACGTTTACCTGCAATTACAAAATCAATAAAAAATCAATGACAGCGATCATTCAAGTTCACCATAAAGGGGAGAATCCCCATTCCCCAAGGACTAAAATCAACCTACTAAATATATAGAGATATTTGTCAACATTTATCAAAAACAGATACCAAAAAAGCTATCAATGCAAGTTCTAATTAAAAACCAGTTCAACTAAATTCCGATCCCAATAAAGCATACATTTTTCACAATACCCATTCAAAATCAAAGGGGGAAAATCTTAAAACTCGATTTATAAATCAATTCAAACCATTAATTTCCAATCTCGTAAACAAAAACCAAATCCATACCCTCTATCCATTAGTCCTACATCAATTACACCGACAACCCTCGATCAATCTGCATTACAACCGAATGATCAATCAAAATTGAATCACCCAAAAGCTAATAAGCTTACTTATAAACGATTTCAGTATTGAAAATATCCATCCTTATCAAAGATATACACATATACGTCTGAAAAAAGAGAGACGGTGGCTTCCCTAAGCTTCGTAACCGTCAAATTGATGAAAAATATAGCAAAAAAGTTGCGGAAATAGAGACAGTGTAGAGTAAATCGGCATTGAAACAGCTTTGAAAATATAACAAACCTGTTAGCTAGGGCTTTAGCGAAGATTTAGGGGAGAAAGAAAGAGAGAGAGAGAGTTATATTCGGAGGCAGAGAGATTCAGATCACGATGGAGTAGCGGGAAAACGAGCGTGTGGAGATTTTAGAGAGAGAAAGGGAGGTATTTAAAGCGTTCAAATTTTGGGGCTATTTTAGCATTTAAGAAAGCGTACGTTAGAAGATCTCAACTCAAGGTGGGTCCCTCTTTATATATATTTTTATTATTATTTTGAAAATTTAAAGAGTATAATAGAAAATTGGTATAAAAAACGAGTTTAATTTCTGTTTATTTATCGGAAAAGTATCTTTAACAAGTTTTTTAAAATTAAAAATTAATTTTTAAAATAAAAAATACATTTAATTTCAATAGATTTATTAATTATATTATTAAAATATTCATTTAATATATTATATATAATCATCATCAAATATGACATCAACAACTTGACTTGTGTTATTTTTCTAAACTTGACATCGGTGTATTCGGTTGTGACATGGGTGATGTTGACTTACTTGTGGGACCCTTTTGACCCGACTTTTAATAATGATCAAGTCATCATCTAATAAGCATTTTCTTTTAGATACGACTTAAATATTCATAATAATATACAAGACCTTAAAGTTAACAGTCAAGTAGAACTTCGTTGACCTTTCTGATCAATGAGGAGTAAAACCAAAGTCTAAGCAGTACCTAAGGTATCCCCCCAGTGGTTCAATAACCATGTATTGTGCTAATAATTACCATGACTGATTGTTTTAAAAGTATTTATATCTATTGTTGGTTTCCATATGCACACTGTGTCCCTTTACGGCTTTACCCTCCCCTGCCCTTGCGGTCATCATCAACAACCTCCCTTGATGTCGTCCCACCCACGTGGACCTTCTCATTGTTTTAACCCAACCACAAACTACCGATCACCCCCTCCCTTGATTGTTGTTGTTGTCAGACTGTTACTTGCTTTGCTCGTTGCTATCATCCACTATTGCCACTGGCGGAGCACGCCTTTGGCTAGGGTAATCCTAGGCACACCCTCAACCTTATTAAAAATTTATCATGCATAGCGGTGAACACGATATTGTTCTTAGGATTGTGATAACTCGGCTTATTACACATATTTTCTCTCACTTTCTCCCTCTAATTGTCAAGTATAAATCTTATATATGATTAACCTAGATATCCAACTATGCAAGCTGACTAATCCCAAGTGGACCACCTGCTTTGCGGGCAGGCTGGAATCACCGTATTTGAACTTCAGTGGTCACAAGAGGATTTTTATTCTTCCTTGGATTTGAACATGGTACCTCCAGACATTTTTGACATTTGGAGCTCAAACTCAAACCAATCAGACACCACCCTTGTGGTTATAAATTTTATATTTTAGTTCATCAAAAATAACAATTCATTTATACTCATGTTTTATGGATTTGGAAAGCCGTTTTATTGAGATTAACGCTAAGTTGCTTACATGTATCCCGTCTAAGGACTGTTTTAGAAAAATATTTAAAAGAGGTATCACATATCTTCACATTATATCAAAATCGAGACGTATCACTTCTAGAGACTCGACACACTCTAAAAGTGATTGATGAGGGGGAAAAACAAACAAGAAAACTACCCTTGTCAAAAATCCGAACTCTGCTTCTCAATGTTATCCACCGTCGTGTCACCATCTATTGTACTCAGATTTCTCTCATTTTGTCTCTCCACAAAACATCGATAGGGTTATGTCTTATAATTATAATTATTAAATTAAATTTAACCAAAAAAAAATGTCAATTTTGAAATAAAAAAAAAAGTATTTGTTTTATTTCAATTTGATTTTACTCGATAGTCGATAGTTGATAGTCGATAACTAGAAAACGTAATCAGAAATGGGCTTCTCTGTTTTGCCACTCGACCCAATTCAAGAGTTGGGCCTTAAAAACGCCCAAGTATATTCCTAGAGAATTTTTTTATCGACAAGAGATTGAAATTTAATTATTCTATTTATTATTTTATTTGATCTCAAAAAATTAAATGGGTTTTAAATGGAAAATAAAGAATGGAAAAAGAATATGTAAATCTATAATCTATCGTATGTCATAAAACATTTATTAATTTGTATGCATGAAATATTGTTTATTTAAGATTAAAAGTAAATTGTGCGTAAGTACAACTTATTAAATCTTTCTTTTTAAATATGTGTAACTAACTACTGATAAATATAATAAAATACATAATAAAGATCTTATTTTAAATATAAAAATTCCAAAAATATATTTAGGATAATTATTGAGTTCTAACAGAATTCCTAATTATTATCTTTATAAAAAATTATATTATTAAAACAAAAATAAATTACTTTGTTATTAAAACGAAATTAAACTATAATGAAGAAACTGAATTAAATAAATTAAACAAAAAGCCTAGAACTTTTAAATAGTTAATTTGATACTAATATCGATATATTTTTTTCAAAATTTTATGATATCTTCAAATTTATATTTTATTCAAAAACAAAAACATTATCGGTTTCTCAAAATCATATAAAACTGTATTATAACATCAGCATAGACAAAGAATAAATGAAACATTAAAAATCCAGATTTATCTCGCTGCATTGTACAAGTAAGTATCTTTCTAATGAACCATAACGTGTACTTATCAAGGATGATGGTAATGCGCAAAGTATCATTCTATTTCTTTTTTATTTTATCTTTTGTTCAGTTTTTTTTTTAATTATTTTGTTCTTATTCTTTTAGGCGGATTTGTGACCAAAAAATGACATTGAAAACTTGAAATATGACCATACAAATGTGATCATCAAGGTCAAAACCAATCTAAACAAAAATACTGACAGAATAATAGCATTCGTCTACAAAGTTTTACTACAGTTTTTGCTTACATAACTGCTTTCCAACACCAAAGTATTTTAGCAACAACGATGTATTTCATATTCTTATAATATTAAAGCAAGTATGAAGCTTAAATATTGTGCCAATCTGTCCTCCATAAAACATTTAATTTCAAGTACAATTACGAACACAATATTCAACTTTAAACAGATTCAAATCCCTGTTGGATCGAGTTGAAATTAAGGTTATACTTTGGTTGCTGATTTGGATAAAATACTCCAAAGTTTTTCTCGAGTTCAGGCTCCTTGTTGTTCTCATCAAACATGGCAAACAAGTATGTCTCTATGGCTCTTCCAGGCCTCTTAGGCGTACCATGTGGTGCATGTGAAACCATATTCGTATAGTATGTGCGAGCATTGTCAAACGTTGCTCCAAATGCACCATTTGATGGCCATCCAGTTTCTGAAATCACAATTTCCACTGTAGCCCCTCCAGCCTTCTCTAATGCGGAGTACATCACATCTACTATCGCGTCAAAGAGGTTCTGGTATCCGTTGGATCCATCTTGTACTACAGTTCCCGAAGAAGTAAACAAGGCATAGGCAAGCGATATGTCTCTTGGATTTCCCGAATAACTACAGCCCAAAAAACGAAAGGGACTTCAAATATAAATCAACCGTACATCAAGGGTGCTAATTGTAATATATGTATGTTAAGGTCTAAATCACATTTCAACATTCTCAATTTTGACTTTAGTTCCTTTTGACTTTTTATAACAAGTTGGAGATGAGTCAACATCTTGGGTACAACATGGTATAATTATAAGAATTTAAATGACATAATAAAATTAATGATATTTGGATAGATATTGACAAGTTAGAATTTAATGATAACTAGAACTGTATCAAAATAATTGTACCTGAAATACGGATAGACGTTGACAAGCAAAGGTGCATTGATAGCAACCAGGAACCCGATGATTGGGTCGATGTAAGCCCTAACATCGCCCTTAAATGCACCTTGCGACGGAGGAAAATCGACTCCGATCATAGTCGTGTCAACTGAAGTCGAGACTTTGATTTGATCCTTGAGTCCATGAAATGCAACGGCTTCGTGGATATTTGTCAGAGCAGGGTGCACCAATGGAGCCAACGTACCATCAGTTGGCTTAACTTCATTTCCAACTGCTATATAACGAAATTTGACACTGGGAAAGTTTACAACGTTTCTTCTTACCCAATCTCGTGCATTGTCACGACTTGAGGCAACATACTGAAGATCTGAATTTGGGACCCCTAACATCAATTCAATGTTGGATCCACTTAACGCTTGTAGAACTGATTGGTTAGGATCGTAGATTCTCATTCGTCGGATGTTGTGCGAGTTGTACAGATTAATGACCTCTGGTGGAGATGGAAGATTGTTTCCAAGCAATCCATAACATACTCCAATTTGTGACTCTGCACATTACCTTACGACATCAGATATTTTCATTTCATGATTGTTACTATATGACAGTAACGAATTTAAGATGATCATAAGCAAATGGAAAAACCATAAACAAAAAAATCCGAGAATAAGCTTGGTCATGAAACTTGGTATGACCTAACCACGAATGGTGACGGTTTTACAGTTCTTATAAATTCAGACGCGAAATGAAATTGAATTTGAATTGAACTGAACCGAACATAAAACATAAAACATAAGTAAATCGAGAAGAGAGATGAACCTGTTGTTCGTAAAGATACAGAAAGGAGAACAAAAAGTAGAAGTAGAGAAGCCATGGAGGACATGTTAATTTGGTTATGTAAGATTAGGGGCAAAATGCCACTTTATATAAGGGGCAAAAAAACCATATATTAAAATTCAAATATTGAGGCGGCTCATATATACTATAATATAAACACTATATGTATATCTATACTATATATTATAAAGTATTTGCATGAAGTACTGTTTATTGATACATATTATTTAAGATTCAAGATTACAAGTAAATTGTGCTTAAGTACAATTTATTAAAGTTTCATGAACTCGTGTAACTAACTGCAGATAAACATAATCAAATAGATGATGAATATTTCATTTTAAATATAAAAAATGTAAAATATAGTTAGGATAATCATTGACTTCTAACAAAATACTTGATCATATCTACATATATACTACATTATAAAGCATTTGACAAAAACTCTTAAAAACCACGTTTTATACGTAAAGTACTGTTTATTGATGCATATTACTTAAAA